TGTAATTTAAAAAATGTATAACTGAGATTGTGTAACAGGAAGAAAAGGTCTAAAGGTGCAGGGGAAGTGGGAGGGGTAGGGGAAAGGAAAGAAGGGGAAAGAAAACAATGAGAAAAGGAAAAAATGGAAACAAAGTCTCTGCAAATAGGGAAGGGTGGAAGGGGTGAAGGAAGGGCAGGGGAAGGAGAAAAAAAAGAACCAAGATACTCATGTAAGGGTACAAGATCCTAATGATGAATGTAACTGTATTGTATACCGAAAATGTACCAATAAACTTAATGGGAAAAAATTTTAAAAATAATAATAATTAATAAAAAGGACCAGGGATAAAGCTCAGTGTATGTTTCCAGTGCACGGTTGCCTACCAGATTTCAGGAGCGAAAGCATACAGCTCAGGTCATTTGACAAATCAGGAAGTGATTTCATTTCCTACATTCAACAATATTTAGCACTATCAGGGCCGGGGATTTAGCTCAGTGGTTCCGCCACCTGCCTCGCAAGTGCAAGGTCCCGAGTTCGATCTCCGGTACCAAAAAAAAAAAATATTAAGTGCTATGGAAAGGAAATATGTCAACATGTGCACACAGGTATGTGCGCGCGCACACACACACACACACACACACACCCTGGAAAGCTGGCATTCCCCCTTCACACATAGGGAGTATCCTTGAGAAAGGAGCAGCCGTAGTGTCATCCTGAGCCTTCTACCGTAGTCCCAGGTACATGGACTGACAAAGAAAGAAACCATCTTTCTCTCAATAAGGATACATTTCAGGTGACCAAACAATACTCACAGATCCAGAGAGAATGATAAAATTTCTTCAAAGTACAGGATCCCAGGCCTAAGGATTGGGTTCGCTCCTAGACAACTATAAACACTCTCTGGAGACTAAAAGACATTGAGCACTGAAGTTGTAGTACATTATTTGTAATTACTATGTAATTGCTTATTTGAGGTGTCTGTTTCTCCTTGACTCTGTGACAGTGGAGGCCAAGTTCACTGATCAGATTAAGCCAAGCAGTGTTTGACTTGATGAAGAATAAATGAATGAATGAACTAACGAAGAGAACAACATGAAAGTTCTGTTAAAAAGGAAAGAAAAATATGGTGAATCCTAGCAATGCCAAGCCTGATCTTATTCCATCAGAAACATGACTGGCAAACAGTGAAACAGGAATAATTAGGAGTTCATCATGTCTCTTAGCAACTTTCCCATCACTGGGACAAAATACCTGCTAGCCACAACTTAAAGGAGGAAAGGCTTATTTTGGTTCAGTGTCGGTCCATGGACAGCTGGCCAAGGAAAGCTGTTCACCACACAGTGACCAGGAAGTAGGGAGAGAAGGGAGGAGCTAGGGACAACAATACATTTTTCCATGTCACACCCTAGGGAACCACCTCCAACAAGGCTCTACCTCCTAACAGCACATCCGGCTACTGGACTTACCAGTGGATGAATCCACAGAACTATAGCAGTCCCAAACACATGAGACTTCAAGAAACATTTTAGATCTAAGCCATAACACTTCATTTATTCTGAGCTCTTAGCATAGAACACAATGACAAGAAGTTGCATCCAGAGGGTTGGGTAAGAGATGAGAATGGGGATGAAGAAGAGAGAAGCCAGACAGGGCAGTAGGTGAGAGAAAAATGAAGACTGAGAATCTTACAACCAAAAAGTCTGGGCTCTGGCTTTGAAAAAAAATGGAGCTTCTAGGTTACAGATGCCCTAACATTCTTTTCTTTTTCACTGTCCTGCTTCTGCTCTGCACCAGTACAGTCCCACAGCCAGGACTTCTGGCTACACCAAGGCCTCCCTACTGCCTGAATCTCAGGTGTTATCACACGAGTGAAATGTGTGGAAGATGGAGGT